TGTTGGGGAAGTTGCCTTGGCCCTAGGGTGCATGTTGGGGAAGGTGTTTGGAATTTTGGAAGTTTGGATCCTTTGCAGGCTGGCAAACGGCAGCTTTGAAAGCCCATAGAAAGTCATTGCTGTGGCCCTGGCCTCTGTTAAGGCAGCTTTGAAAGCATCAAGAAAGTCATTGCTGTGGATCTGAGGTGCCTGCTGGGGATGGTGTTTGTTGGGGAAGGTGTTTGGAATTTTGGAAGTTTGGATCCTTTGCAGGCTGGCAAACTGCAGCTTTGAGGCCCATGGAAAGTCATTGCTGTGGCCCTGGCCCCCCAAACTGCAGCTTTGAGGCCCATAGAAAGTCATTGCTGTGGCCCTGGCCCCCTGTTAAGGCAGCCTTGAAAGCATCAAGAAAGTCATTGCTGTGGATCTGAGGTGCCTGCTGGGGACGGTGTTTGGAGGGTTTGGCGGGTTTAGGAGGGTTTGGAGCGTTTGGAGGGTTTGGAGAGTTTTGGAGAGTTTTGGAGGGTTTGCGGGCTGGCAAACGGCAGCTTTGAAAGCCTAAGAAAGCCATTGCTGTGGCCTGGCCCTGGGATGCCTGTTGGGGAAGTTGCCTTGGCCCTAGGGTGCATGTTGGGGAAGGTGTTTGGAATTTTGGAAGTTTGGATCCTTTGCAGGCTGGCGGAAGATGTTTGGAATTTTTGAAGTGTTGGATCCTTTGCAGGCTGGCAAACGGCAGCTTTGAGGCCCATAGAAAGTCATTGCTGTGGATCTGAGGTGCCTGCTGGGGACGGTGTTTGGAGGGTTTGGCGGGTTTTGGAGGGTTTGGAGCGTTTGGAGGGTTTGGAGAGTTTTGGAGGGTTTGCGGGCTGGCAAACGGCAGCTTTGAAAGCCTAAGAAAGCCATTGCTGTGGCCTGGCCCTGGGGTGCCTGTTGGGGAAGTTGCCTTGGCCCTAGGGTGCATGTTGGGGAAGGTGTTTGGAATTTTGGAAGTTTGGATCCTTTGCAGGCTGGCAAACGGCAGCTTTGAGGCCCATAGAAAGTCATTGCTGTGGATCTGAGGTGCCTGCTGGGGACGGTGTTTGAAGGTTGAAAGCCTAAGAAAGCCATTGCTGTGGCCTGGCCCTGGGGTGCCTGTTGGGGAAGTGGCCTTGGCCCTAGGGTGCATGTTGGGGAAGGTGTTTGGAATTTTGGAAGTTTGGATCCTTTGCAGGCTGGCGGAAGGTGTTTGGAATTTTGGAAGTTTGGATCCTTTGCAGGCTGGCAAACGGCAGCTTTGAGGCCCATAGAAAGTCATTGCTGTGGATCTGAGGTGCCTGCTGGGGACGGTGTTTGAAGGGTTTGGCGGGGTTTGGAGGGTTTGGAGCGTTTGGAGAGTTTTGGAGAGTTTTGGAGGGTTTGCGGGCTGGCAAACGGCAGCTTTGAAAGCCTAAGAAAGCCATTGCTGTGGCCTGGCCCTGGGGTGCCTGTTGGGGAAGTTGCCTTGGCCCTAGGGTGCATGTTGGGGAAGGTGTTTGGAATTTTGGAAGTTTGGATCCTTTGCAGGCTGGCAAACGGCAGCTTTTAGGCCCATAGAAAGTCATTGCTGTGGATCTGAGGTGCCTGCTGGGGACGGTGTTTGAAGGGTTTGGCGGGTTTTGGAGGGTTTGGAGCGTTTGGAGAGTTTTGGAGAGTTTTGGAGGGTTTGCGGGCTGGCAAACGGCAGCTTTGAAAGCCTAAGAAAGCCATTGCTGTGGATCTGAGGTGCCTGCTGGGGACGGTGTTTGAAGGGTTTGGCGGGTTTTGGAGGGTTTGGAGCGTTTGGAGAGTTTTGGAGAGTTTTGGAGGGTTTGCGGGCTGGCAAACGGCAGCTTTGAAAGCCTAAGAAAGCCATTGCTGTGGCCTGGCCCTGGGGTGCCTGTTGGGGAAGTGGCCTTGGCCCTAGGGTGCATGTTGGGGAAGGTGTTTGGAATTTTGGAAGTTTGGATCCTTTGCAGGCTGGCAAACTGCAGCTTTGAGGCCCATAGAAAGTCATTGCTGTGGCCCTGGCCCCCTGTTAAGGCAGCTTTGAAAGCATCAAGAAAGTCATTGCTGTGGATCTGAGGTGCCTGCTGGGGATGGTGTTTGTTGGGGAAGGTGTTTGGAATTTTGGAAGTTTGGATCCTTTGCAGGCTGGCAAACTGCAGCTTTGAGGCCCATGGAAAGTCATTGCTGTGGCCCTGGCCCCCCAAACTGCAGCTTTGAAGCCCATAGAAAGTCATTGCTGTGGCCCTGGCCCCCTGTTAAGGCAGCTTTGAAAGCATCAAGAAAGTCATTGCTGTGGATCTGAGGTGCCTGCTGGGGACGGTGTTTGGAGGGTTTGGCGGGTTTAGGAGGGTTTGGAGCGTTTGGAGGGTTTGGAGGGTTTGGAGAGTTTTGGAGAGTTTTGGAGGGTTTGCGGGCTGGCAAACGGCAGCTTTGAAACCCTAAGAAAGCCATTGCTGTGGCCTGGCCCTGGGGTGCCTGTTGGGGAAGTTGCCTTGGCCCTAGGGTGCATGTTGGGGAAGGTGTTTGGAATTTTGGAAGTTTGGATCCTTTGCAGGCTGGCAAACGGCAGCTTTGAAAGCTCATAGAAAGTCATTGCTGTGGCCCTGGCCCTGGGGTGCCTGTTGGGGAAGCTGCTTAAGGGTAAAGGTTTGGAGGGTTTGGAAGAGGACAAGGTCCACACCTGCGGTGGTCCCAGGCGCCGCCCCGGCCTTAGCGAAGGCCGGGGTCGGCGGATATCATGAGAATCATCCATAGATAATGATCCGGATTCTGGAATCATCCCCAAAGTTCTGTTGGCATCACCTGAAAATACGCGTATCTTCATGTCTTGTTTATTGTATACCATATACCGACCCGTCTAGACTTTGCTTAACCCCTCATCAGCTCCCATTGGCTTCCACTCAGTATGTATGTATATGTATGTATATATATATATATACATATACATATATCTGGGTAAATTATAACGACCTCATTGCGACCTCACTGGAATCATGGTTAGTAAGGGGAATTATCCCCAAATAGCCTTATTTCAGGTTAGTGAAATATTATGATTATAATCCACTCATATATATATACACACATACGCAATAAATATATACGCAATAAATATATGTATATACATACATATATATATATATATATATACATGTATATATATATACATACAGAGTGTGTGTGTATATATATATATATACATATATATATCTATACCCTTGGTCTTTTGGTCCAACATTTCCAGGCAACAGTTGGGGATGGAGCTGCCCGGGGTGAAGCATTTCCTGTCCAAGACCAGTCTGGTCAGCTTGGGGTCCTATTGCCCCTCGCTCGCGAGTGAAACTCTGGGAGGACCATGCTTTTCTGAAAATTGGGAATGTATACTCTATGCTGAACCGTATATACTGTGTATGTGTATATATATATATACATAGTATTTGCTAATATGTATATATATATAGTATATATATACTGTATATATATATATACTATATAATATATATATACTATATATACTGTATGTATATATACGCATACTATATATATAGATTACATCGATACATATGTTTACATATCCTGATTAGCAACCCTTTGCGTCCATTCTAAGTGGGAATGATACTGGGAGATGTCCCAGATAGAAATTCTACCGCTAAAGATTAGCTTGGAATCCCCAGGCTTGGCACAGCACTCCAAGCATCAAACCCCTATATCCTACATTTTTCCCCCAGAACTCAATCCAGGGAATCAGCCGGTCAAATAGTTGATCCCTTGAACTACCATTTATATCCATTCAGGTCTAAATCAACCATTTACATGGTTGCAGTCTTTTGAACTAGCATTTGCTATAATGTGTTAGACCCAGTAATACACCATTCCTACTATCTTCATGGGTTCAGTAAACCCTCCAAAACTGAGCCGGTCAGTAAATCTGAGTATTTTCACCATTTTGGGCCCTTGCAAGGTGCTGTGGCGAATATGATCCAGAAGTTGGGTCTCCGCGAGGCGGCAGGGCCCTTCGATTGGATCCGCTCCAATGGGCAGGGTGTGACGCATTTGCTGCGGAACGGCTTCCAGGAGGGGTCGGAAAAACCGCTGGGCTGGTCCCGGAAACCAGTCCCGTGGGTGGTTTAAGATGTTTAAGTGAACATGTCGCAGGAAAAGCCGCACAAATCCCATCAAATCACTGCAACAACTATGGCTTGCAACAATGGCTTGCAGTACTTCTGCTTGTAAACAGTGCCAAAAAAATGGTAAACCAATCCAGTGATTCAGCATGACAAAAAAAGGCGGAACTCAGTGGAACTCCTGATTGGCAAAGCTCAGGACTTCCTGGATTGGGAAGAACGAGTTCATGATGTGGCCGGTCTGCAGGTCTTTCCAACCACCTGGGGTGGCTCTTTTTGGCACCATGACATTAGCGACCCTCAGGCCGTGCCCCAGGGGGGTGGACTAAAAAAGGTGGAATGCCCCAAGATTGTTTCGGGATTCAACCGCCTAAAATATGTAAAATGGGGATTTCATTGAATATATGGCCAATGATGATTTGTTTTGTGTTTTGACCTCTTTGTTTTGTTTTCCATCCGAATGGGAGGAGGATTCCCATTAAGGAGGAAAAGGTACTCCGGACAGCTCTGAAGAAAGATGTGACTTACCACCTCCAATGCAGAGAGGCCCGTTGTTTTTTTAGGCTGAGGAAACTATATTAAATATGCGATCGCAAAACTAACAACAAGATAGCCTTCCGCATCAAATCAAATGAGTACAGTAGCTAATATCATTTGACATGGTTTACAGTACTATGGTTTCATAGTGGTTTGTCTTGTTTTCCGATGTTTATCTCCATATGTTTTCTGATTTCACCAGTGTTTCCTACATGGGGTCAGGTGCGACAGACCTTCGACCGGCGGAAGCAGCGATTTCTGCAGATGCGGAATGCTGCTTGGCTACCTCCATGGCGCAGGATGCCGGGATTTCGTCATTCTGTTGGCCAACACGGGGTATCCCTATGTCAAGGGCAGTTCAAGAAACCGATCTTGGTTTCGTATGATTATATCATATTATATCATTATATCATATTATATCATAGTATATCACATTATATCATATTATATCATATTATATCATACTATATCATACTATATCATATTATATCATATTATATCATTTTAATTCATATTATATCATATTATATCATAGTATATCATAGTATATCATATCATATCATATTATATCATATTACATCATTTTATATCATTTTATTTCATATTATATTATTATATCATATTATATCATATGATATCATAGTATATCATATTATATCATATTATATCATACTATATCATACTATATCATATTATATCATATTATATCATTTTAATTCATATTATATCATATTATATCATTTTATACCATAGTATATCATAGTATATCATATTATATCATATTATATCATATTATATCATATTATATCATATTATATCATATTATATCATAGTATATCATAGTATTATGTTTAATATATCATACTATACCCTGTCATACCCTTGTTTTGGTTGGTTCTATCTCCATTTTGGTTGGTCAGTTTTCTCAATACTCCCATATCTTGCTCGGCAAACCCATCAATGGTTGGGAAGTCGGCCATGACTCAACTATACTCCACTGCAACTAGGATATGATGGCTCTCAGTGCATGTATATGTACCCTCCAGTAATCAAACGTGGTAATGGAAAAATCTACCATTTATAGATGAATGTCCTATTTAACCGCCTTCGGCGTGTTCGGCCAGTCACCATGGAAAGAGCGATCCTGCAAGCCGCAGCGCTTGCGCAGGCCAAGCAATAACATTGTTTTTGTGTAAAACCATACTGTGTGTGTAAAACACAGTTTTTGTGTAGAACAGCGTTTTGTGTGAAACATGTTGTTTTGTGAATATTTTATGCAAAGCAGGGTTTCTGTATACGGGCGCGTCCTGCGGGGTTCCATCGTTCAGATGTCACTGGGAAATCACATTGCTAATGGAGATTGTGAGATTTCACTTCCCAAATTTCGTATGTCTTGGGTGAGAAAATCCTAGGTCACTGTGTCGGACTCTTATTTTTTGTGGTCAGGGCTATGAAAAACAGGTGGCCGAACCACGATTCCACGACCCTGAAGGCCCAAGGATAGTCAGAAGTTGAAGATGGTTGGTACCAGATATAACATGATATAACCAACATATAACCAACATGAACCAACTATAGTTGACATTAATGTATGAAATTAATAGGTACAATGTACCTGAGATAGTTGGGATGTGGAAACCAAACCAATGCTGGGTGAGACGATCGCATTGTACAAAGAAAAGCGGTTCATTTTCGGGTGAAGGAAAAAACATTTGAGTGTTCTAACCAACCCATGCTGTATACATCTGTGTACTATTTGATCAATGCCTAGCAGCTTAAGTTCAAACCTAAGCCTGTGTGTAAACCACGGTTTTGGAAAAGGCCATATAGTATTATATATATATATATATATGTATATATATATATGGAAAGGTTGCACGTGTAAAAGGTGTTCTGCATAAAAAACCAGTGGATGGACATGCCACCTATATCTCAGGGATTGGATTTTTCAGAACGACGGAGCAAACCCATGGAAAACACAGCAACAAAAACACATGGAAAAAGCAAACGTGTTCCCAAGCGGGGGGCGAAACGTGGGCAGAGTTGAGCCCAGCGCAAACGAAAGATCCACGTGTGACACGCCAGCAGGCCGGCGGAGGAAAACCTCCATGAATTCACCACCCCTGAAGAAGGGGTCCCAGTATACGATCTGTCAACTACCACCGGCCCCGGTTTCGAGGAAAACCTTCTCTTTATCCGAGTGGCAACTTGGTTTTAGCTTTAGATCAATGATTAAAGGATTGATCCATGTTGATCCTTGGACTTTGAGCCATGTTGTTGGAGGGAGACAAAATACCAGACTTTAAAGAAACTGTTTTCTAAGGGGCATCCGAAGTTTGCCATCTTTGAAAATGGGTTCAGCTAGGAGGCACACACTTCGACGCCCTCACACAGGAGTTTCGTGCATGCGCAGATATTTGCGGCCCGACATCTGAGGTCAATGGCACACAAGAAGTGGCACAGATTCCAGATTTGTATTCAGCACTTCACGGGCGTTTTGCAGCAGTTGGCCGTGTTCTCCTGTTGGTTTTGATTGACATGCAGGAGCAGCATCCAGCCCATCCAACCACAGTGCTGCTATGGGTGGTCGTTTTGAGCCATGCCGGCCATACCATACCCAATTTGTCAAACAGATCCCAAGTGTTGTTGGTTGCACTGTATTTGTCCACTTTGCTAGCTTAAGTTGATGGTACATATATATATATATATACATATGCATGTACATATATATGCATATATGTATATAGTCATATATAATCATATAGATCCCTGTAGCACATTATTCACTACATGGCCAATGTCGCACCTGAGGCGCTACATTCAGCATGTCAGCTCTCAGAACAGACGTTCATTAATGACTACCCCAAAAAAGTCATAAATGGAATTTTATGTGAGATTCATGGATTATTCACGTGATATTACTAGAATTGAACTCATATCATCATGCTCAGATCTTTCAACTGTCATGATCAACATGATATGTTCATGAGATCCATCGATAAACCTGTTGTATCCAATCAATGATCCATCATGACCAAAAAACCTGCAGTTTTTCCATCTCTGAATGCAGCGAGCAACTGCAACATGTCGCTTTGACACCTTTTGTGGTGTTTCCGTTGAAGCTTCAGAAGGTGCCATCACCCCCCCAAGCCCATGCCAGCAGATATGCATTATATTATTGTATTATATTATAATATATATATATATATATATATATACATATTATATGTTATGTGTATATATATATATTAATATTATCATAGGGTGACTGGGAACGACTGGGATGGCTGATGATTGCGCCGGGCAGCACCAGAGATAGCAGCATTCATAGCCTAAGAAGGCATGGTGCAGAAGGCTGACAACTTCAAACACGACAATCGAAGCAATTTGCTAGTGTTTTCTGACAGAAACAGTGGTCTACAACTTCCTGAAAGAGCTGTGGCAATGGCCATGCAAATATCTACTGGCTGCTTCAGCCTAGAAACACCCAGCGGAGCATCCTCTTCAAGGGAATCAGCTGGCAATGAAGCCATCAGCGGTAGATTGGGATCAACTAAGCCCAGCTTGCACCCCCTTCCTACGGCCAAATGCCTCGATTTCAAGCATAAGGATATCAATTCACGCTAATTCACGCTAATTCACGCCAAACCCCAAAGTCATAAATGAATGTCTGTTCTGAGAGCTGACATTGGGCCCAATGTATGGTCTCATATATGACATTATAAATGGTTTTCACGCTAATTCACGCCCAGAAATCCCCATATAAATGACCCCTCATGGGATTTCTGGGGATCTCATAGCGTGAATTAGCGTGAATTAGCGTGAAAACCATTTATGAATGTCATATATGAGACCATACATTGTGCCCAATGTCAGCTCTCAGAACAGACATTCATTTATGACTTTGGGTTTTGGCGTGAATTAGCGTGAATTAGCGTGAATTGATATCCTTATGCTTGCAAGCTGGGCTTAGTTGATCCCAATCTACCGCTGATGGCTTCATTGCCAGCTGATTCCCTTGAAGAGGATGCTCTGCTGGGTGTTTCTAGGCTGAAGCAGCCAGTAGATATTTGCATGGCCATTGCCACAGCTCTTTCAGGAAGTTGTAGACCACTGTTTCTGTCAGAAAACACTAGCAAATTGCTTCGATTGTCGTGTTTGAAGTTGTCAGCCTTCTGCACCATGCCTTCTTAGGCTATGAATGCTCTATCTGAGTCAGCAGCAAGCGGATGAAATTTGGGCTTGCAGTATGAAGTGACCTGGTAAAGTGTTTCTGTACGTGTTTTTGTATATATATATGTGGCTTTAACAGGGTTTAATGAAGATGTTCCAAGGGGGCTGGATGAAAATGATCCTGTGTTCTGACTCTATTCATTTTTGTTGTGGCTATCCAAGTTACAGCAAATCAACATCTAGCCTACACTGTTCTGGCACAGAATCATCAACGTATGGGTTCCCTTCGATGGCCGTTCAAGCCGAAGCACCATGTGCCCTGGATTTGCTTTGAACTAGTGGCATCTTTCTTCTTTTCAGCTACCTGAAAGGGTGATTTTTTGAAGGGTCTTCTCTGGAATAATGACCTTCTTTGAGTCTTAAAACATCTCAGGCGTTCCAGGAGCTGGCCTGGTTCATGCGATGGGAGCGGTACAATTGCCGCAAGTACCATTGCTTTGTGGATAAGGATTGCATAGGCTTTATAAAAGGGCTCTGTCGACGTGTACATCGAAGGATGCTGGAGTTGAGAGTCCTAGGCAGATGGATGATTCGCCTTGGTGCTTACCGGCGGAAGCCGAAAAGTGTGAAAAATGAAGATTTGGAATTGGGATTGGTGAGTTGTGAGAAGGGGGGAAACCCATAAATGGGCACCAGACAAAAGTCATAAATGAATGTCGTTTCTCAGGCTATACGCAGGGCAATGTAGCAAATATTTCTGACATCGTTGAATGTAAGGAATAATTTCAGACATTCGATCCACTGGGTATATAATCATATATAATCATATATAATCATATATAGTCATATATAATCATATTTGATCATATATAATCAAATTTGATCATATATAATTATATTTAATTATATATGCATATAGTTATATATATATATATATATATACATATTTTTATTTATATATATACATAGACATATAATTATATATACATATATATATATATTCAAATACAAATATACATACATACACACATACATACATACATACGTACGTCCATGCATACATACAAAAATACATACATACATAATTGCATAAATACATACATACATACCTACCTACCTGCCTACATACATACATACGTACATACATACATACATACGTACATACGTACGTACATATATGCATACATACATACATACATACATACATATATGTATATATATATATATACATATGTATTTATAATATTTACATACATACATATATATATATATATGTATAGTAATATGTACATATATATATGATATACATACATATGTATATATATATATACATACATGCATACATTTATACATATACATATATGTATATGTATGTATATATATATGTAACATACATGCATACATTTATACATATACATATTTCTATATATGTATATGTATAGATATATATATATGTATGTATATGTATATATGTATGTATATGTATACATTTGGGTGTGTATGACAAAAGTAAGTAACCCACAATCTGATGCATTGTTGCTTTTCTGGGGGACCCTTATCGCCCGTTTGGGACAAACCAAAATTCAAAAGTTTGATCCGGCAGGACAGCGAACGTGAAGTTCGGACACAGGCGGGCCGGACCTGTGAGCCGAGGTCCAAATCGAGTATCACGAGGGTTGAACATATAAATATGATCTCTTTTTTGGGGGGTTCAATAAATAGTGGCTAACCCGACCAGAGGTGATTTTAGTCGCAAGTTTTGGACTGATGCAATCAACAGATATCAACTGGAGTTGCGTGGAAGGGAACTTCGACACTGAAACTTGTTTGTTGGGAGGACATTCAGATTATGTTTAACTCGCATCGTTACCTTTTGCTGATTTGTTGATGTTTTTTGAGTTTTGTGTTTGATATCTCTGTATATTCCATGCCGTTCTTGTCATTAAGCAGTTGGCATCCTTTCGTATCTACCATTCATGCGTGTCTAGTGTGTACATATTTATTTGTTTTAACAAGAACTCTGCGGAAAGGCTGAGCCATTTATATGTTTATATATACATACACTCATGAACGCATCTTCATATTTCAATCATGTCCTTTTGGAATACCATTGTTACGTCCTTACATGCCCATGAGCTTAAACATTTACAAGAAGGTGTAAAGGATCATGTGCCCATTCTAAAAGCAGCATGGGTGACTGCCCCATTGTTGATCCATAAATATATATTATACATACATACATACATACATACATACATACATACATACATACATACATACATACATACATATATACATATGTATATATACATATATACATATACATATATACATATATACATATATACATATATACATATATACATATATACACATATACATATATACATATATACATATTTACATATATACATATATACACATATACATATATACATATTTACATATATACATATATATTCATATATATATATATATACATATATACACATATATACATATGTATATATACATATATACACATATATACATATATATAAGTATATTTATATACATACATATAAATATATCTATATATTTATATACATACATATATATATATATATACGTATATACATATATACATATATACATATATACACATATACATATATACACATATACATATATACATATATACATATATACATATATACATCTATACATATATACATATATACATACATACATATATACAGATATAAAAAAAAATACATATATACATATATACATATATATTTACATATATTCACATATATACATATGTATATATGTATATTTATACACATACATATATATATACATATACATATATATTTATATATACATATATATACATATATATTTATATATATACATATACATATATACATATATACATATATACATATATTTTTATATATACATATATATATATATACATATACACATATGCATATATACATATATACATATATACATATATACTTTTATATATATATATATTCACAAATACATATATATATATATTTACATATATATATATATACATAGATATATATACACACGTGTACATATATACATATACATACATATACATACATATACATACGCATACATACATTTACATACATATACATACGTATACATACATATACATACATATACATACATATTTAATATATATATATATATATATTTATATACGCATATTTCATGTCTACATATGTAGGAAATATTCCATGTATAACTGGTCTGTTTTTTTGGTTCTTCACATCGGGGAGGACCTTGGAAGCAACGTCATTTTCGCCTGCGTCCACCATGGTGCCTGGGAAGCGCCCGTCGGGGGCTGTCTGCCGGAGGAACAGGTGCGACGCTTGTTGTTGTCGTTGTTGTTATTGTTGTTTCGTTCCTTTGTTCCTTTGTTGTTTTGTTTGGTGCGTTTGTTGTGTTTGCTGTATTTTTGTTTTACGGTTTCTTTTATCATTGTGTATGGTTTATTTGTTGTTACGGTTTCGTTGGTTTTACATGTGTTTGTTTTAACCAGGGTGTATATATATATTAATGTAACTATATATATATATACATATAAATATATATATATACATATATATATATATACATATATACATATATATATATTATGTCTTATATATGGTTATGGCTCAACATTGGGAACACATTGGGATACCAATGGACCGACAAAAGGCTCGTTTTGTGTAGGAGCTTAAACTATCCAGTTGTTTCCATGTTATGGACGGTTTGATGCCTGTTCCTGTTACTAGTGTCAGCACCAACTTTTGCTGTGGATGGTGAAAAAGGGGAAGAACCCCCGAATTTCCCTGGAAACAGGCGACAGGCAGTGTATGCTTCTGGAGCTTCTAAGTTTTGACTGGTCCAAAATGGTGGTTTAAACAAGAAACATCTGGCTTTGATGCAGCAAGAGTATGGGATTAAGCGGTTAAACCGAACATAGCAGGTTTAACCTACTCAGGACTGTGGTTTGCCCCGCTACAAAGTCGTTTTAGGATCATGGCCGTGTGCAATTTTGATCCCATGCTTCATCGGGCGATCAGTCTGAATCCACATGTTTATCTCGCTAAATCCAAATCTTTAATGGTGAATCTTCCCAGTGTCGATAATTGTGTATGCTTGAATTGCCAGAAAGCAGACACATGTTTGTGCAGACCGTGATGAAAAGTGATTGGAGAAACCCTTCATCATCCCTTCCTCATGATATGAAACACCACCTAGAAACCCGTGGTATCCGGTGGTTTAGTATTATTATTGGATCTAATAGTTTTTGGGGCCTATTAGCCGGACAGGATTGCTCCATTTTATTGATCATGATTTATCAGTTGATCAATGTTGGTGTGAGTTTGGCTCAAAATGATCACTTTTCTGCAAAAAAAAACGAACACTACCAAGACAATATCCAAAGATCCTGTGGATGGTTGTGAAATCCACCAGTTGGTAGCTCTTGGGTTACTATGAAACATTAGGACATATTAGGACTACAATGGGATTATAATTATCATGTACCCATTCCAGTTATCATTAAGACTACAATGGGATTATCATATGTATTTTTTGTTTATCATAGGTTACCCATGATAACCCAACCCCCCAGCAGGCCCGTGAGCGCTTACACCTGGCCAGCGACGCCTATGCAACCGCGCTCAGTCGGGCGCTTTACCTCTGGTGCCCTTCGTTGAAAACCATGGGGATCACTGGGGTTGAAGCAAAAAAAAGCCTTGCAACATGGTTACCATTTGGATTATCTCTAATATATATATATATAATTCTATATAGTCATACATATATATATATACATGTGCATACATATATATATATGTACTTGGGAAAATTGAAAACTGATCAATGAATGAACCTGCGGGATTTAGGAGTACCTTATGATTATGATGCATTGGTAAATTGACCTCGCTATGGACGATAGTTAGGGAAATCATCCCCAAATGGCCAAACTAATCTGGTTAGGGAAAGATTCATCAATTTTCCCAGATATGGCCAATCCATGAAAACTGTTTAACTTGGAATCTCCATGACACAATTGGGATATCTAATAATTCCATTGGAGATTTGCATAGTAGGAATACAATGGGGATACATTCAGGATGTAGTCATACATACAGTATTATACTCTGTTGTAACAAAACATGTGTGGGTATATTAAGTATGATGGTGGTCATGTAGTCACAAAAGTATGCAGCGATGTGTATATATGTATATATATATATGTATATATGTATATATATATATGTAAATCATTATATATATGTCATTATATTTATTTTTTATGTCAATATATATATATATGTGTCATTATATATGTATATATACATCATTATATATATGTCATTATATATATATATGTCATTATATATATATATGTCATTATATATATATATATGTGTCATTATATATTTGTAAATATCATTATATATATATGCCATTATATATATTTATATGTATATCATTATATATATGTCATTATATTTATTTATATGTCATTATATATATATATATGTCATTATATATATATATATATCATTATATATATGTCATTATATTTATTTATATATCATTATATATATATATATCATTATATATATGCCATTATATATATGTCATTATATATATATATACATATCATTTTATATATGTCATTATATATATTTATATACATATCATTTTATATATGTCATTATATATATATATTAATATATATATATATATATCATTATATATATCATTATATATATGATTAATTGAAGAATATATATATATCATTATATATATATATATCATTATATATATATATATATCATTATATATATATATTTATATATATAAATATCAATATATATATATACACGTAACCAATGGTTACCATTTTCCCAACTAGTGGTCACAAAATTGTCTGAAATCAACCATACGGAGATCCTTCTTTTTTGGTGGACATGATGTTCTAAACAACCAAACTTTTGGGGGTGCCATATTTCAAGAACGATTGAATTTATAGGGGGGTTATATAGCTAGCGGTTCACCGCACAAATCTGTTGAGTTACTGGACAATAGACTGCAGGGCAGGTAAAGAGGTTTTATTCAAATGGAAGCAAACATGAGCCAGCAGAGCAACTATTTTGCTTGCTCTTACTTAGATCCTCATGAAATATCCTCATAAAGATATCTCATAAAATAAAGTAGATGAAGATAAGTATGAAGATGATTGATGTGTAAAGAGTTTTTGATACCCTCAATAAAGATATCCCAATAAAAACCTCGTTGGCTTTATCCTCAGGTGCGGCTACGTCTCAGTGAGCCCGATGGCCTACCCAACAGTTGAGCCTTGGTGTTGAATTGATGATGTTTTGTGGGTTGCTCCAACCTATTGTTAACATCTGTATTCAAGCTAGCTGGGGTGTTGGGAGCAACCCTGACAGTTCGTTAGATTAACCTGTAGCCTTCTTTTTAAAGATATCGAAGTCACTTTATGTAGCTAGCCTCTGGCAAGTCAAGCGATGATAGCTATGGAAAATTAGCATGTTTACAAGGTAACTAGCATATAGATACGAATATTCATTGGGCCATTTACCATAGTTATTTTGGATTACAAAGGGTAGTTCCAAGAAAACGGGGGATACCCTTCGGCAATCCAACATGGCCCCGAACGCAATGGAGGCTATAGCTGGGAAGATCATCAAACTAAATGGGGGATTTTTGCAGTAAGCCACGTTTGATGACAATGGAGGCTAGAGAGGTTCCGAAAAAATGGGGGAGGGGAGAACAAGGATTGGCTGGATTAAAAGTAGTGACAACAAACAAGGAATCAGGATAGTAGCAGCTTGAGCACAAGCAAGAACGCGGCTGGGCTGTGGCTGGCTGGGTCAGAACTAAGCCCTCCCGAAGTGGGCAGAGAAACAATTTGGAAATGTTGATCTTCCAAATTAGCCATCCATTCTGGTGACTAGTGACAGGTCCATTCGAGTCAAGATTCAAACTGCCATCCAAGAATCGCCCCTTGCCGATCCAAGCATACCTCGGAGATCTCCCCCCGAGGTGCAAGGCTATTAACCAGCCACAACAAAACTAAGCGTCTCATCCTACGAATCGTTGATTTGGGTTAGTTCACCCCAGTTATAAGTGGATTTAACCCTACTTTTCCCATAACTGGGGTGAACTAACCCACGATTCGTAGGATGAGCCACCAAGGATGTTAGGCCTTCTTCACCAGCTCCCTGGGCAGCTGTGAACCGAGGCGTCCTTGTCTCAGCAGCTGGTGCCGTGGAGCTGCCCAGATGCCAAGTACGACTCCTATCAGCCGTACCGAAGTATGCCGACAACGGCCGTGGCGGCTACGTTGCAGGTGGGATGTGAAATCGCCAGACTAGGAGGATAGTACTTTGCTATCATTTTGGGGGGTGCTACAATCAGTGTATATATATACATATTCATTGGCAATTGTTTGATTTGCGCTTGATCAGTCAGTATAGCTCCGCAGGCAACACTGCCAAGCATTGCTCCTACGATTCCAGCCCTCCAAGCAGTGAATTTGCGACCATTGCATCCCTCGCGCATCTTGGTGAAGTTTGAACAGGAGTTTGAACCTTTGAACATCTTTGAACCTAAACGCAGGGTTCCACAATTGCCCCAAGGATCATTTGAGAAGTGATGTTCTTTAAAGATCCTGGGTTTGCCTAGCGGGGCCAAGTTTGGGAAGTCAAACATCAAGAACTTTGAAGGCCACGTCTTTCTTGGGGGCAAGGATAGGAGTTGAGGTCAGAAGATTCCCAGTCATGCTGACGCATCGTGCATTATTGTAATTTTTTGGGCCGGCAACCCATCCAGGGTCGGAGAGATGTTGGGGAAGCCAATCCCAATGCCAATTCCAAATTATGGTTACTTGGTTCATGTGAAAGATCGCGACCTTCCTGACAACATCCTTTTACATTGTTTGAGACTGTTCATGCTTCGTGTATCCTTTTGTTGGGTCCTGCTTGTTGGCATTTATTTGCTGGCACATGAGGAATTACTCAAGTCGTTCGATAACGTTGGACAGGCAAATCATTGTTAGATCGTCTTTCAGTGGGTGTGGGTCAGAATTTGAAACCAAGCTGCCAGCCGATTCTTGGGGCATGTTGGCTGTTGATCAATTTGTCATCCATATTTTCTGAAGGACAACACACTCTGAGTACCAAATTTTTGACCCAGACCCTGCGGTTGGATATCCCTGATTGAGGGAGCAACGCCAACTCTTATTCAGGGCGAGGTAAAGCCTCATGCCCTGTTAGGTGGTTAGGATGTTAGGATTAGCTTTCGACTTGTTGCCAAGGCGTCGAATCCTCTCTTCAACTAGAGAGGGATTTGCGGATGGGGGCACTCGTTGGATCATAAACTCGTTCATGTTGTTTTTGCCATTTTAATGCTGACAAGGTGGGTCTCCGATTTCCCATGTAACTTGTAATTTTATCAGAATTGTGACCAGTTTTCGGATTTCTGATATGTACGATGTTTATCCATTTCTATCCAAGACAAGATCTTTGATTTCTCAGTAAAATCATGTTTTGCGAGTGATGGAGAACCACCGCTTTATGGCTGACATGGCGACTAAAAGCGCAGCCCACGGGTGGGTACTTGAAGGATCCTCGCTTCGTAACTGGTGCTCCAAGGTTGATGAAAACATGGGAAAGTCTAGCAGATGTAGGAGCATCCTAGCTGCGGCATAGCATGAATGGCTAGTGGTGGTCATGGCGACAAATGCAGATCAAAGAGTTGGGTTTGGTGTCATGGCCAGTGTTTTCTTTGTTTCCGCTTGGGTCGCAGTGGGTCTAGGTGGGCTCTAGGGCATCAGATAGTGTAGTTTTCAAAGTCATCGAATTTGCAGGACTAAGTCCTTGGGTGTGTTTGCAGTAAGCCTACGCGCGCCACACTGTTTATATGAAGCTTTCACGACTACAGGGTCGATGACACTAGCAGCTAGCAGACACCACCTTTGTTTATTCAGAAGGTCATACACCGCACTCCTGCATGAATCCTCATGGTGAAACTCAGGTCGTCAATGTTTGCAGCAGATTTCATTGGTCTGGTGAAGCTATGTTAAACTTATATGTCTCTTTTTGGGGTGTCAAATCTCCGACTCCAACTAGCAACAACTATCGGCAAGTAGCAACAACTATCAACAACTCCAACTTGTTTTTAGATAACATATGACTCCATTTTGTTTGGTAAATCCCTGCGTTTTTCGAGGTGAAAAAACGTCTTGGCCCTTCCGGAGCTGCGGACGAGATGCCGACCCAGCTGGCCCGGAGCCAGTGAGTCATGGATGGCCATGGTATGTTGATGAAGATTTCCTAACTAGATCATGGGTTTTCCAATTAATTAATAGTGGCCAACAATTATTAGACAATGGATCCATGATTTAGATGAGTGTCAAATCCCCAAAAATCATCCAGTTTTTTGACATAATAGATGGTTGGTGGCTTGGAACCTTTTTTTTATTCCCATATATTGGGAATAATCATCCCAATTGAATTTCATATTTTCCAGAGGGTCCATGATCGAAGGAAGTTTAGAAGTCAAACTTCCGACAATATGGACAGATGAAAAGCAGAGATGGGAAGAGTCAGAGAGAAGAGAAGAGTAGAACAGAGAAGATCAGAGAAGAGAAAGAGTCAGAAGAAAGAAGATCAATGTGCGCGAAAAGGTAGGAAAGTCGCGAAACACCATGTTTTCCAAAGGAGTGGGGGTTCCGGAGGGTCAAAAAGTAGGCTCGCTAAAGCGGCGGGTGCGGAGACCGCTGGGCAGATGAGAGATGAAAAATTCACGCCGTTGTGGCGCGAAGCACATTTCGAAGTCAAAATGTACAAAGCACACCAGCTTCGGACCACTTTTGGAAGTTGAGATGTCGTAAAAGTGCACGCCGTTGTGGCGCGAAGCACATTTCGAAGTCAAAATGTACAAAACACCACATGTTCGGACCACTTTTGGAAGTTGAGATGTCGAAAAAGTGCACGCCGTTGTGGCGCGAAGCACATTTCGAAGTCAAAATGTACAAAGCACACCATGCTCGGACCACTTTTGTAAGTTGAGATGTCGAAAAAGTGCACGCTGTTGTGGCGCGAAGCACATTTCGAAGTCAAAATGTACAAAACACCACATGGTCGGACCACTTTTGGAAGTTGAGATTTCGAAAAAGTGCGCGCCTTTGTGGCGCGAAGCACATTTCGAAGTCAAAATGTACAAAGCACGACATGTTCGCGCCACTTTTGGAGGTTCAGATGTGCTTTCGCGTGGCAGGCGCAAGGGATTGTGCACCTTCTCAAAAGTGAGCAAAACGTGAGGGTTTTGTAGCATGTCTCAAAACGATGGCAGGCGTGGGACATTTGAAGAGGATCTGCAAAGATGCATTTTCCGTGGCAGGCACAGTACAAGAGACATTTTCATCAGAGCTGTTAGGAGGTCCGGGCGGTGATTTCCTGAGAGGGGTTGCATTTTGGAGCATCAGATCTTCAGGTTTGCTGAGATGATTTTGCGTGACAGGTGCAGCATTTCGTATGACCTGGCATCACTTTTTCGTGGCAGGCACAGTAGTTTAGACAGATGACTGGAAAATCGCAAAACGTATTGGTACGAGGCCGTCAGCTCTGCACGCAACTTTCCATTTTTGAAGGAAGTCTCGTTTTTGATGTTGTCAACTTCGAAAAAAGAGGAAGTCTCGCAGAATAGCTTCGTTTTTGACGTTGTCAAGTTGAAATATTGAGGAAGTCTCGCAGAATTGCTTCGTTTTTGATGTTGTCAACTTTGAAAAATGACAAAGTCTCGCAGAATTGCTTCGTTTTTGACGTTGTCAAGTTCAAACATTGAGGAAGTCTCGCAGAATTGCTGCGTTTTTGACGTTGTCAAGTTCAATACCTGAGGAAGTCTCGCAGAATAGCTTCGTTTTCAAGCTTGCAGATAGACAGGTAATAGATAGACAGAGAGACAGACAGAGAGAGATAGATAGATAGATAGGTAGATAGGTGGATAGAAAGATAGATAGATAGATAGGATAGATAGGATAGATAGGATTAGATAGATAGATAGCTAGATAGCTAGATAGCTAGATAGCTAGATAGATAGATCGGATAGATAGGATAGGATAGAACGGATTAAACAGATAGATAGCTAGATAGATAGATTAGATAGGTAGGTAGATAGATAGATAGATAGATAACCACCTGTCGGTCCATCAGTGGCTTTGCTCTGCCATCCGTGATTCACAACAACCAATCTCTCCTATAGGTTTCCTATTTTTGAAACTTCCGCTACCGCCTTGTGCGGTAGTACTGGTAATGTGCATCCCTTTTTGGGATCCATTGATTGGAAAGTGAACTGTGACCGAAGCCTGGAATCATGGTTAGGTTTGGGGAAATCATCCCCCAAAAAAAGGAACTTTTCACATTCGTGAATCATTGTGATTTTAACCCAGATATACTTAATATGTCTCTAATCTATGGAATCCCATCATATCCCATCCCCCTTCATACAACAGCCCCATGATAAAGGGTCACAAAATTTGTCCCACATATTTGTAAATCCCATTCTAAACCATGTTTTGTGGTTTGATGGTTCATTTATTTTGGGTAAGAGATTATTTCAATACAGTTACGAGGGCACCATATCTCAACAAACATGGGGCTTAGAATAGCCACGAAAATGCATCGCAACTGCACAAGTGGGTCGCTGTGTTCTTTCATCATTTTCGATACCTGGAATATAGATCAGTCATCAAGATATCAATCTGGGGAATATGGGAATGGTTGGTGAACATGATTAAGCCATGCAGGTTGGTTCATGCCTAACTCATCGGCCATAGGTCCGGGATGACCAGCAGAATAGATTGGATGATTCCGCAATATGTGTTTTGGTAGAGGTATGATATGGATTTATATGGTATTATGGTCCCCTATATGGAGGTGTCCTAAAATGGAGGTACCCCCAGTTCTCATTCATTTATAAATGGATTTTCCGTGAAATAAACCATTCATTTTGGGGTACCACCATTTATGGAAACCCCCGTAATCAATCAACCAGGGATCAGGGCTTTAAACACTGCTCACCAGGGTTGTTGCGGAAGGCTGCCTGGGTCTGACTTTGGCTAGGTTTTCTTTTCAGAGTAGTATGATGTTTCCTCAGGCTTGACAGACACATACAATATCTATATACAATATATATATATATATATTTAACATATATATTTAATCTTTATATATATATATATACATATAATATACATATATATATATATATTGTACCATAATATCCTCATGTCAGATATTGCATAATAGTGCATGCTCTACGCATTTACTGTTTCTTTCAGACACATAGATACACAGCATGTTTACTGTATGATTAGATGTGCCTTCAAGTATGTATATGCCTATTTCAAAATTGTTCAACACACACATATATATATATGATTATACATTCTTTCTTTTATAGACAGAGAACATTATAGAACTATAGACTATATGTCAGTACATGACATATCTACTACATAACTAGGATAAAGCACTGCTGATGTTCCAAGCTTTTCATCGGCGATTTACACCCATTGAGTGCCAGTGGTTGCAATTCACCAATTATATCCATCGGCAGGCTGATTTGCTGAAGCTGGCAGCACGAATGTGTCTTGGCACTTTGGGCACATGATGAAGACCTCAACGACAAAAAAATGGGTGTATTTTGGGGTCCGAGAGTTCTTGATCCCATCCAAACGTATCAAATGGCGCAGAAAGAACCCTATGAACAGATCTAATACTCGCAGGATCACAAAATGGGAGAGTCTGATCGCATCGAAAGATTTTCCCGAACGAAAATCATGGCTTTTCAACCTGAAGTAGCTGACCTGTGTCCTCGTCACACTTGGCATGCCAAGGCTGGAAAACCGCGAGCATGTGGATGAGCAGTTGCGAAGTCTGGGAGCATAGCTGGGCGAGTGGTGTGTTGCTTTCTCAACGGTACTTGTTCCCCACCTGCCAGGTGAGGGTTGTTAGATTTTATCAGAGTTGTTCTTCTCCTTCTCTTTCTTCTCCTCCTCCTTCTCCTCCACCACCTCTGCATCCACTTCCAGGTCCACTTCCACCACTTCCATGTCCACTTCCGCCTTGCCAATTCTTCGCCAAGCTCTTCGCCAACTTCCGCGCGCAGTGTGCACTGCTGGACCTCAACTGCCGGCTTCCGATCTGAGTGGGCACGGCTGGACCTCAACCGCTAGGGTCTGAGCGCAGTGGGCACCGCTGGACCTCAACCTCCGGAGCTCAGTGGGCACCGCTGGACCTCAACCTGGGTCCCTCCGAGCTCAGTGAGCACCGCTGGACCTCAACCTGGGACCCTCCGAGCTCAGTCAGCACCGCTGGACCTCAACCTGGGACCCTCCGAGCTCAGTCAGCACCGCTGGACCTCAACGGCCAGATAGAATGCCAGAAGATATGCCAGATAGAACGCCAGATAGACTGTCAGAAAGAATGCCAGAAGATATGCCAGATAAATTACCCGAATGTTTGCCAGATAGAATGCCACCCTATGAATCCAAACACGCCTCGGTACCTCAAAATGGCCTCGGGCCCATCAGTTTATATTTCAATGGGCCCCAAGGCCTTTCGACCCCTCGTGAGGAGGGCCCCTGTGGTTGGCAGGGGCAAGATGATACAGCATGCTTTGGGATGCCCACTTCATAACCGCATTCCAATCCATAAGCGCCGCATTTCCATATGTTTTCTTGCCTGTGCAGCTTTCATCCAAGTGCATAGCGCGTCACAATGAACAAACCAAGTTTGGCAAGGTACCTTTCGGCAACTCGCTTGGAAACTGTGCTCCTATGAACCAACCGTCCCATTCGGGATATGATTCCCATGAAACTCTCCCCGCAAAGAAGGGTATAAAAACGAGGGTTTACCCGGGTTTCCCGGGTTGTTTCCAACATATGCATCATATGATGATGCTTTGGCAGCAACAGCCACATACTCCTGTTTAAGGACTGTGAGCCGGTAGCCTCATGAGACAATTTCCTAAGTCGGGCATATGAAAGCAAATGAACCTGACCCACGCCAAAAAATTTCTCAGCCTGCTCCTCAGACAAAAGCAATGGGAACTCGTCCATCATTTTCAGCACATCCGCGTATGTGTGGATACACGCTGCGACCAAGCGATCAAGATCAGTAGCGCCTTCTCGTTCTGCAAACTTTACAGCGACATCACAAAGCCAAAATGTCATGACTTTTCCCTGAATAGCTTTGGAGCCCATGCTTGGAAAGTCTGTCCTATTCTTTCTGTTTAGCCGAGCAGGTGTGAAGCGAACCATGGAAGACTGGATTTTTGATTCTTTCTTCCACTTGTTGAATCTAACATATGCTGTGCGCAATTTAGACTCCAGCGTGTCAGTGTACCTTCCAAACCGCCATGCCCCAAAGGCACCAGCCTCACACAAGTAGGTGAGGACGGATCCTCAGATGCGAAAAATGTTTGTTTGAGGTGTGTGTGTGTGTGCGCGTGCATGCGGGCTTGCGCGTATGCGCGTGCGTGCGTGCGCACGTGTGCTTCTGCCTGTGTGTGAATATGGGTGCGCATGTGTGTGTGTGCGTGTGTGCACATGTGCGTTTGTGTTACATGGCAACGGCGCCAAACCACAAACCCAGCAAGCCGAACGTACATGAGTCAGAGTTCAATCAAATCACCTTTGCGCATGGCTGTGCGTGCAAAAACTTTGGATATGCTTGGCTTAAGAGCCGAAGATCTGCAGCTATTCTCTTATGGGTGTTGATCTTTAAACCCCATCTAAATCATTATTGTGCGCTTCTCATTAACAGCTCCATGCTGATGGAACCGAGGCGTGTTTGGATTCGCAGGGAAAGATTATGTCACCTATAGTTATAGTCTAGTGCTTGCAAGTATCCGTTGGTCACCTTTCCGGTGCCGAGAAGTTGGCTGTGTGCCACGTCATGTAGCATCCGAGATAAGTGGGCCCCAGGCACACCAAAAATCACAGATCCTCAGGGCATAGGCCAAACATGTACTTGGCAATTTCTATTTCCGTTAGGGGGGCCCGCCAATATCCCACGGGGCATATATAAATTCTGTTTATGGATACGCTTATACAAAATCTATATATACTGCTTGGTACTTCCCCAACATTCAAAATAGAATATGCCAACTAAGTCACTGGCATCTGGCGGCGTGTCTCTCAAAAAGTCAGCATGGCTGACCCGAGTTTGCCGATGAAGGGCAGTTTCCCGCATATCACCAAGTGTATACCTGACATCCTGGTGTTTTTTGCAGCACTTGCACCAGGAACAAAAATAGTTCCTGGTATATATGTGCATTCCGTGTTTCTCATTCAGCCATTTCAGATCACCTTGGCAACTACTGAACATGAACTGGAACTGCTTGCTCCATGGAAAAGTTTTGTTTGGGTCCACCATATCTTTGACTCGCGCAATGATTGCAGTCATCAAATCTGTGTAGGTGTAGTCACTGGCAGTGTGCGATGAATAGACACAAAGCAAGAGGTAACGTGCCATGGGCGGATGTTTGAATGATAAATCCGAACTCCAGCACAGCACTTCCAGCGAACCCATCTCAGCATTCGTGTAAACATTCACTTCGTCGCCATAGAAGGCAAAAGGGATCAGTTTCTCACGGTTGGGAAACGTAGCCAAAGGATGCTCACGAAACCAAGCAGAAGTTTCAGCAGTATGGTCCCAAAATGATTTCACATCAGCAGGGCTCATGTCCCCCATAAAGAACCACCGGAAAATCTCCGGACCAAGTTCCCATATGGCAGCTGCAAGCCTGTCTGGCATGATGACTGCAACTTGGCCTTGAACAAGTGACCGTTCCTTTGGGCTCCACATTCTCACAGAGACATGGTCAATTTGAACTTGAACGGATTTGTGTTTGAGCACCACATGCAAGTCCCGTTCCGCATTTGCAGGGAACTTTCCCCATGTTGCTATACCAGCCAACCTGTAAACAACATGGGTGTGGGGCACCTCACCCCCATGCTGCTTGCAAAGTCGAAGTGCAGCTTCGGCCAATTGTCTAACCTCATTGATGTCAACCGGCTAGCCCCATGGAGTAACAGAGATTCATACAATTTTTATCAGGTACAACTGGTTATAAATGGGATTATGCATTCTATAAATGGGGGTACAAGTACTTATAACTGGTAAGGGGCTATAACTGTATATTTGAAGATGAAACCTGCGCAATGGTTTCCACAATTTGTATGGGGAATCACCCGCAAAAATAGTATAAATAAAAATGGTGGATCCCCAAAACCATGGGTATTGGTTAAAATTCAAGATGATTTGGGGTACGTCCATTCTATAGAATAGGAAACCTCCATCCATATTACACATGGCCCCACCATGAGCGAGGTGCTTTGATTGCCGCACACTTCCCTGAGGTGAAGTCTTCCAGCAAAAGGTTGGAAAGATCAGCTCCCTCAGCATCTTCAACCGGATCAGAAGGCTGGGGTCTGCTGCTTGAAGGTGGAGCCGTGCGTGCTGAAGATCGATCTTCATATGGACGGGCCTGCCAAAGGGTTGATATATATATAGATTTAACTTACTTTCCCATTTCCCCTTGGAACTCTTGAATGAACCACACATATGTCCAACATACTGTGGATGGAAGAAATCTTGCACCAGTTGCTAACTCTTGGTAACTATGAGTGAGTATAAATAATGGGATTATGATAGAATAAACCATCTACCAGCTGGTGCAGGATTTCTCCCATCCACGTAACTAGGGATACATCCAGGATCCAGCTTCAAATCAAGTTGAAGTGGTGGGATGTAACTGATGTAACATGTCATAATGAGTGCCTTTTGGACTTGTAACCCTATGCCTGTCGAGCGTTCCGAGTGGAAGCGCGGATAGGTCCCGAAGCCCGTGCACGTGCAGCCCCAATATCTGACAACAGTGCTGTTTTGGAACCAAAGTGTTTTTTGGGAACAAAAACACAATCGTCAGAGGGATGCAGGGCATTTGTTTCTTTTTCACTGCATCTCATTGCCTGGCCATCCCCGACTTGGCCACACTTTGAACTCACCGTGTTAGTGAATAGCACGCACAGATATGCGTGTTTGAACCTTTGAGACCAAGGGCCAACAAAATGAAACCAACCAAGCTGTCCACTTTTTTCATATTATAAAAGTAAAAGTTAGCCCAGGTAGTGGCCTCTCCCCTATGGCAAGATTGTACCATATGCGCATACGCACACGGTAAGTGGCAAACGTATTCAACCTATTGTTGAATGAAGTGACACATCATCAGCACTCCTCTTCCTCCGCAGCCGCCTGCCAGCGAAGGCATTCCAGTATAATACCCCTTCCCTGTAAATGTGATCAGACTTGGAAAGCATGGGTGTAAATCGCACAAATAAAAGTATGTATACTATAATGGTGCCTTCTTGTTTTTTTTTTTGTCTTGGTCAGCTCTTTGGCAACAGCGGAATCTTCCAAGTACATCTTCATCCTTTGCTCCGCCAACTTCACAGCCCCTTCACAGGCTTCAAAGTTGACATCGTCACGGTCCTAGCCGGGGAGCCAAAGATGTGGGCGGTGAGCCTGAATAGGAAAACCAAAGAGGTTGACATGCCTACAATTTGGAAACCCCAAAGCCCCCAAAAGAGCCTGCTTGGTCAGGTGAAAGATCTGAAAGTAGGAAGCTTCCAACTCGCTCGCATGATGTACCATCGTTTCTCCTGAGATGGCAAGTGGAATCTTCAGGTTGATGGGATATATATATATATATATGTGTGTGTGTGTGAAACATATGGTGGGAAATAGGAAACCTGTGTATATGCCTTGCAACCTAGAATCGCAACTTGTCTTGGTGCTTCAAGTGGGCCAATTTCACGGGGTACACCTTGGATTCTGTCAAGCTAGTCGTGATCTTTGGCAAGATCCACTTTGTCGCTTCATGCGCATCTTCTGGCCTCAAGTGATGTGGAACAACCCCTAGGTTTGATAAGGATTCAGGATTCCTGTTTTGTATGGTGGAGGGTGTTGTTTAATCAGTTCAAGTAACTTCTCAACTGGTTCCTTCTTGCGTTTGTTGCCATCACCTCTTCCGGTGTCTCCCTTGCCCTTTCCGCGCCCCTTGCCACGCCCACGGCCATGACCCGCTTCCGGTGTGGCTGGCTCAGGCTGGCTTGGCAAGGGTGCCGCCAAAGCTTTTGGCCCTGGGATGGCTTGTAGGGCCTCCAAGTTGGATGGGGCAACCAGCTCACGGGCAGCCTTGCGGGGGCAGTGCTGGCGACAAGGGATTGTACTGGTCCCAAATGAAAGATAGGATATAGATTGATGTAGATAGCTATAGCAATATAGATACAGACATAAATATATGGATATGTCTCAAAATGAGGTGTCCGTTTTTGGTTCCAAAATGGCTAGTTTAAGGGAAAAAACGGACACCTCATTATGACCTCATTTTGAGACATCCCCATATAGATACAGAAGATATAGAAAAAAAGAACGTATTAATAACAGATATAGGCAGGTAAAGATACAGATCAAGGTCTAGATATAGATATAGGTATAGAAAAAATATAGATAGATATACGAAGAGATAGGTAAAACAATTGGCATATTGATTGATCGGTTGATAGGTTGATTAGACAGGTAGGCATACACAGATAGATAGACAGATGGGTATATAGGTATATAGATGATAAAATAGATATGGGTAAATATGTGTTTGGTTTTCTCTTGGTGGAAGGCATCATGCTAAAAGAATAGCTGGAGCAAAATATTTTTTTAAAGGTAATATAGGAACCCTGGACTGAAATTTGACATGTCCTGGGTATATAATGGGAAATATATGAAAAACCCCGGCCTCAGACGAAGGATTAACTTCCATGGTGAGGCTATACTGCATAGAATCTGCGACTTCAACCTCGTTGCTGTTGGACATATCCAGGAGAACCTCACATCGAACAAGAGAGAGAGGAAGGATGTCGTGGGACTATTGGTAGCATGGGCATGACCATGATAAAACCCAGCAAAGTTACATAGTACAATCTCATAGATTCATCCCCGGGAAGGTCAGGGTGATCCCGCACCAATCCTTGCGAACCCTTGGCCCGCAGCAAGTTGTCCACAAGATGCAAATTCTGGTTGTACAACTGCATAATCTGGTCCTTCGTTCGCCAACCTCAATAAGAAAGAAATTGAATGGGCTCCCATGTGAAAAAAATGACTTTGTTGCTGCCTACCCTGGAACGCCGTGATGAGGCTAGTACCATACTGGGAGCGGCCAATGTCCCGGTCAGTGCGGCTCTTGGAAACGCTGACTGTCAGCCTTAAAGCAATTCTTGGAAAAATTGTTTTTAAATGGACCATGAGATAGCGTTTCCTGGCTTCAAAAGCGCAATCAAAGGAAATATTGAGTTAAGAAGCAATCCCCAATCACCTCCTGACTCCAACCATTTGTTGAATAGCAAGTTTTTTGCACACCGGCTCTTGGTCTTGCAAGCATCCTCCCAAGCTTTCTTGAACTCTGGCGGCAGCTTGACATCAACATGTTGGCCAACCACCTGCCTGCATGGTGCGAGTGGCATGCACATGTGTGTGAGTGTGTACGTCGTGTACCTGTATGCCTTATAACATAGAACACATACTTTGTACCTATTTAAGAGTGCTGCCGAGTTGTAGTTGCAAAACTATGTACAACTTAAGCATATGGAGCCTTTTGAACTGCGCGTAGAGAGCTTGTCGCTGATTGTAGCCGTCAAACTGCAGAGGGGTAGCCTAAGGGGGGCTGCTTAAAGGTTCTTTGATTTCACTTTCAATGAAACACAACATTGCGACTGTCATATACATAAAAACCAAGGGGCGTTTGAAGCAACCGCGATTTCAGGCATATCCATCTTGCTTGGCGTTGCTGCGCTTGCACTTGGTGCTTTGGGTGGGACAGCCTTTCGTTCAGTAGATTTGCTTGCTCCTCCTGTAGGGGCTTTCTTTGGCACTGTCTCAGGGGGTGTGCTTGTGGATGGGGCTGATGGGGCTGGTGGTGCAGTGGCAGTCACTGCTTTTGGAGGGGGTGGAGCCTGCTTTGGAGTTGCCTTTGCTGAGGGAATGTTGGTTGGCTGTTGCATGTCCTGGGGTGCCGAATGCTCAGGTGCAGGGGCAGGTGCTTCCTTGGTATCATGCCCGTCGTCACTGTCAAGATCCACTACAAGGGGAGTTGAGCTGGCTTTGGCTGTTGCTTTTGCTGCTGCGGCTGTTGCCTCTGGCTTGCATGAAGGCAGTACCTTCTCAGCTTTGCATGGTGTTTCTGCGTGCGGTTCGGTGGCATGTGCAGTGGTGCGATCACGTTTCAAAGCTGGATTCTCATGCTTCACTGGTGTGGGAGCAATGGGCTGAGATGCCTTCGGGGGCGGGGTGGCTACAATGCTGCCTGCAGGACAATGCGGTGGGGTAGCTACAATGCTGCCTGGGGAGTAGCCGGGCGAAGTGGGATGGGCTTTGGGTGGCGGCGGTGTTGGGGCCCAAGAGCTTGGATGGTAAGCGGGCGCTGGCGTTGGAGCTTTGGGTGCTGCATTCTCAATCTTTACAGATTGCGGTTTGTGGGCAGTGGGTGGCGGGGCTGCAGTTTTTGCTTTCTTTTGGTCTGGCTGCTCTTCTTTGACTCCATGCTTTGCTGCAGATGGGCGGACCGGTGGAGCTGTTGCAGGGGAAGCCACGTCAATTGAAGCCAAGGAATGGGATGAAGATGGCCGTCTTGACAAGCCACTCCTAGGATATCATGTGCACAAATCTATACATTATAATGCAACACACTTCTACATGAGATG